TTCCCCCTCCCTTTTGCTTTCTTTTAAGAAAATAGAATAGCCAACCTCTTTACGGACACTGAGTTCTCTAGGTTTGTTATTTTCAATTATACACATTCTTCTAAGCATGACCCTTTCCCACAACTGGACTGGTTTCAGATGAGAACCATAGCCTATGAAGCAAGACGGCCCTGAGAAGAGGGACACTGAGTCCACAGTAACCAGGGAAGAGAAGAACAAAGACATTCCTGGCGGTCTAAGGGATCTTCAACTCCCTTCCCATCTCCCTGTATAATCATGTTGACCCCTTTGCTCTGGGAGACAGACATTTTAGAGAAGTGATTCTCTCTGTCTCCTTGGATATTGATACTCAATAAAACTTTTGCTTTCCCGCTCCAACCTGTTGCAATCATTGGCTCTTTGCAACATGGGGTAAAGACACTGTGGTTCCTACAGCAGTTAGGCATCATCAAGTCAGTTCCAACTCATAGTGACCCAACGTACAACAGAACTAAACACTGCCCAGTCCTGTGCTATCTTCACCATCATTGCTACGTTTGAGCCCATTGTTGCAGCCACTGTGTCAACCCATCTTCTTGAAGATCTTCCTTTTTCACTGACTCTACTTTACCAAGCATGATGTCCTTCTCTAGGGACTGCTCCCTCCTTATCATATGCCCAAAGTGCATGGCATGAAGTCTCGCCACTCTTGCTTGTAAGGAGCATTTTGTCTGTACTTCTTCCAAAAGAAGAAAACTACCATGAGACAGGCAATAAATGTGCTGGTTCCAGCATTTATGAACATGAACATGCATCAGGTGTGATTGTGTCTCTCATGGAATACAAAGGTAGGAGAAACTAAGGCAAATTTGTTAATATAAAGCACGCGGTGAAAAGTGTGAAGTGTGAGATACGAAGGCTCTGAGTATGTTAATTCTGATTGGAGGTCTATGGGAACACTTCATGCCAAGGTGACATTTGAATTGTGCCTTAAAGAATGAGTATAATCATAAATGGTAAAGAAGGAGGAAGATATGCTTAAAGTGCTTTTTAACATGAAAGTGGTTAATCATGATTTCCCATGGCAGAAATACCATTGCACTTGTTTTTCCTTGCCAAAGGAACTCTACTCAAATTCAGGTTTCAGGTGGCCATGTGCTTCAGAGGAAGTCCCAGGGATTTAATATTGATTGGTCCAAACCAACTGTGTAAATTCCATTTCTGTTGCCTGTTACTGGATCAGGCATAGACATGTGACATTATTCCAGCCAATGAGATGTGCAGGGAAGTGTACTGGAAAAGTTTTTCTGTCTGATAAAGGGAGGAAACACTCCTCTTTATTTCCTGCCTGTGAGTGGGGAAGGAGAAACAGAAAAATCCTGGCTACTGAATTAACCAACATGAAATTGATCTAACTTGAGACTTCTTGACACATGAAATGATAGCATTTTCTTATTGTTTAAGTAACATCTAGTTGGATTTTTTTTGCTGTGGTTGATAATGTTACTTGCAGCCAGATGTATTCTAACTGATAAGTGCTCCTATTTGATATCTGCATTTCCTTTCCATTGGTTCAGGCCTCTGCTAAATTTTAGTCCTTTCCCTTCTGTTGCTTTGCCTCATCAAGAATGCAGCTTAAGCCATCTAGATGCAAAGATGACTCTCTCCTCCTCCAGAGCAAAGAAGTATGAAGAAAACCAAAAATTCATGGAAACAATTAGTCCTAACGACTGGTACACCATGTGATCCTCAACCTATACGACTATGAGACCAGAAGAACTAGATGGGGCCCAGCTACCACTGTCAACCACTCAGAGTGGGACAGGTGTAAGAGCTCCTGGATAGAGTGAGAGAACAATGTGGAACAAAACTCAAAATCATTTGGATAAAAAAAAGGGGGGGGGCAGGTTTGCTGGTCTGATAGAGCCTGGTGGAACCACTGAGACTATGGCCCCTAACTGCCCTTCAGGTCTGGAATTGAACCCACACCTGTGGCTTCCAGCTAAACAGAACACAAGCATATGAGTTGAACATTTACCTGAGGTAGATAGATGCCTTGGAGAGAACAATCATGGGAGAAAGAAGGGCTGCTTGTGCACAGGGAGACAGCTCAGGGGGCAGGAGTGCATGAAGGGATAGACACAAGGAGGAGGTAACTTCGGGAGGAAGTGGGAGGGGAGCTGTCGCATTGTGGTAAATTGTAGTCAATGTCATGAGACAAAGTGTATGTGAACTGTTGTATGGAAAGTGAACATGCTCTGTAAATTTTCACCCAAATCACAAAAAAAAAAAAAGAATGCAGCTTAACCTAAAAGATGACAGTGTACTTAAAGCATCTCCCTGCACATGCACATGAGCCAAAACCAAACTCATTGCCATTGACTTGATTCCGACTTAAAGCAATCCACACATGCATGTAGGGAGAAGTAAAAAAGAAAGAAAATAACTACACAATGCAAAGCCTTAATTACTTTTCATCATCACCATGATACAAAAGTGGTTAAAGACTTGTTAACTCTTAAAGAAGGGGTTGCAAGTGGGGGCTGAAAAACATAAAGGAAGAGACTGGCAAGCCTAGGGGACGTTATGTAAAGCCCTCTGGATTCACAGCAGTGCTGGAATTCACTGGTAATCCCCACAGGAGCCAAGACTGCCTGTGGAACAATCTGTCTGGCAGGAAGTCAATTGAACAGTGTCAAAGAATGTGCTGTGCTCATTCCTAAGACCATGGATTAATCCTAGGGACCCAGACCTGACAATGGCAAAAGTTGGGAAGTTAGCAAAGACACTCTCCAGTCGCCACCCGCATACCCCTGCCCTTCCCAATTCTTCCTTTTTATAGCCTTGATCTTTTTCTTCCTATGCTCCCTCTCACTTCTCCTTCTACCCCTTCACTCAATAAATCATACTCTGCTTGCATGATGAGTACAGAAAATACAAAGTCACCTACCTCAGGGCATGTGGATTTTAATAGTGAGCTCTCTGTCAGCTCGCACAGGACTTTATCCTGCTCCCATACAGCCATATCCCTTACTGTTTGGCTTATCCTATTTACCCTTCAGTCTCAGTTTAGATGTCCCTTCTTCCAAGGAGCCCTCCTTGATCCCAAGTCTCAAGCCCGTACCTCTGATGTGTCCCTATAGTCCTGAAAGCCTTCCTCCCAGAGCACTTGCCATGCTGATTTGTAATTTGTATACACTTAGTAAACCAGTCCTCCAGCACAGCCCTGACATACAGTAGGTGTTAAGTTTATTGAATGATAAATGAGGATCTGTTCACATATACTATAGCTCTTCAGAGACAATCACTGTTTTACTTCCACTGTCTTACCTTAGCACCCAACCGAGTTAGAATGGTGGACACATAAATTATTTGCTAATTAACTTAAAGAGATTTTCATAAGAAAGGTACTTGTATCAAGGCTATTGCTCATAGTGTCCTGCCATCCTTATCTCAAGAGCAAGAAGCTCAGGCCAATGACTTTTACTAGGCTACTGGGGATAGAGGGCAGAGCAAGAGAGAGGGAAAATTCTGGAACTATAGCTACTTAGAGCTTTGGGGGTGGGTTCTGCTCTTCAACCATAGTTTTAGGTTTCTAGGAATTCTTAACCTGGGGCTCACAGGCAGGATTTCAGAAGATCTAGGAATCCTCTGATACTTGAATCGAACATCCATTCCAGTAAGGATAGGTAGTGAAGAATATTGAATACACCATGGACTGCCCAAAGAACAAACCAATCTAACTTGGAAGAAGTAGTCAGAATGCTTCTTAGAAGCAAGGATGGTGGGATTTCATCTCCTGTATTTTGGACATGTTATCAGGAGGGACCAGTCCCTAGAGAAGGATATCATGCCTGATAAATTAGAGGGGAAAGGAGGAAGACCCTTAACCAGATAGATTGATATAAGGGCTGCAACAATGGGCTCAAAATAGAAACAACTGTGAGCATGGCACAGGACTGAGTAGTGGTTCATTCTGTTGTTCAGAACTGACCCCACAGTGACTAACACAGACTTGCATTGTCTAATGTGATAGACACTAGTCACAGCTGGCTATTGAAGTTTACATTTAAGTTAAAATTAAATTTCTAGTGCCTCAGTTACACTAGCTACATGGCCAGTGCTGAACAACCACCTGAGGCTAGTGGTTACTCTTATGGACGGTGCAGATACCGAGCATTTCCATCATTGCCGAAAGTTCTACAAGACAGCTTGTCTATAATATTAGCACTACTTCAGATTTAATGTATAAACACTATTTGCTTGATTTATAAACTGCCTTTGTAAAATGAGTTGCCAATATTTGGAAATCAAAACCAAAAAAATCTGGAACCCTAATTTCTTTCGGGAAATGGGACCGTCAGCTCCGGGCCTGCATTCCTCTTGACAACGCTAACTCAAGGGCACAGGGGCTGGTCCCTTTAATGTGCCTTCTGGGGTGGGCCCCTGTCCTTAAGTTCCCTAAGGTTTTATTGAAGATAGCCGCCTGGCCTTTCTCAGTCTCTGAGTTTGCGAATTCCGATCCAGGGGACCCCGCCCACGCTAGTCTCCTTCCAGGTTTTAGTGTTTGTAACCAGACTCCAAGTTTGGTAAGTGGGTTGAAGTTCGTTTAAGAGCACAGCGTAGGGTGGGGTCCTGGGGTGGGGTGAGATTCAGGATGCCACTTGGAAGTTGAGGCGCAGGAGCACCGCCTCCCTTTCAGTTCCCCGGAACTGGAAAGAAAGGGAATTTTATCTTGACCATCTGTTGCTTGAGAAAGAACTTCTTCCTCATCTTTCCAAGAGCCCTCCAGCCCCAGCCCAGTTCGCCTAGGCCCGCCCCTCGTGAACAAATCACAGGGAGGGGCCGGAGTCGAAACCGGAGCCCTGCGCCCACCACCCCGGCTGGCGACGTGGCTCTGCGGCCTGGGCCTCCCCCCGCAGCTCGGCGGGCCAATGGGCGCGTGAATGGGGGTAGTCTGAAGCCTCCTGGACCAGGCCTGGGGCGCGCCCCTCTGCTTGGGCGCGGGGCGGGCCCTGGCCGAGGAGCTGGACCGTCCCCTCCCCGCGCCGGCCCCAGCCCCGCCGGCGTCGCCGCGCTCCGAGCCCCCATTCCTGAGTCGCCGCTGTCGCTGCTCGTCCCGCGCGCTTCCTTCCTGGCCGCCCTCTCTTCTGGACGATGGCGCGCCGCAGCCGCAGTCATCGCCTGGGGCTCGCTCTGGGGCTGCTGCTGGCCCTGGCGCTGGCGCCCCGAGCGCTGCGAGCCAAACCCACAGTGCGCAAGGAGCGCGTGGTGCGGCCCGACTCGGATTTGGGCGAGCGGCCGCCCGAGGACAACCAGAGCTTCCAGTACGACCACGAGGCCTTCCTGGGCAAGGAAGACTCCAAGACTTTCGATCAGCTTACTCCAGAGGAAAGCCAGGAGAGGCTGGGGTGAGGCTGCGGCCCGAGCAGTTCTCGGGGGCGGCGCAGGTGTCTGGGGGAGCCACCTGGGGGGGAGCCACGCGGGACGCGCGCAGCAAAGCGAAAGCGAAATCGGGCGCGCAGGTCCGAGGGCGGGGCCCACGGGGCTCGGCGGCGGGGCGCGGGTAGAGTTGCCAGCGGACCCCGGTACTCCCGCGTGGGGATAGCTGGCCCGGGTGGTTTTCCGCGGGGAGGCGAGAACGTGGCAGCGGTGGCGGGAGCCAGGATGGCGAGGGCCCACCCCCTCCCCTTGGTTGCATCAGAGAGGAGGGGATAGAGTATACAAAAGAAGAGTTTGTCCAGGGTGGATGAGTTCTCCGCCCTTGCAATTTCTCTTCTTCCCCTGTTGCCTGAGAGGAGAGAGGAGCCGGTGACACTGCTAAGAAGGTCTCAAGGATGAGCATAAATGGATGAAAAATGAAAGGGACAGGCGAGGGAGAGGCTGGATCCCGGGCTGTGTCTCTGGCCAGAACTGGGGTGTTCTTGCCTTCTGCTTCATCGTCCTGTAAATCCGGTGTAGGGACGTAAAACGCCGGTTGTTAAGAAGGGAAAAGTAGTTGGGGTAGGGGAAAGGAGACGGCGAGATGGAAACTGGTCTCCTTGTTTCTGCCCCCAGTGGATGTCTACAGAGGCACTCGGTCCTTTAGCAAGTGTTTGCTGGTGGCAGAAAGCTGGAAGGTGGTTTGGTGGTGGCTTGTGAATTTCACTGTTGAAAGCAGTGAACCAAACCAAACTGTTGAAGGCAAGGAAACAACATTTTGGTGTTTCTGGGCACCTTCCTGAGGTCCACTTGTGAGACATCAAGGCGCTGTGTAAACGTATCAGGAAACCCTTCCACAGAGGGATCAGCAGCCAGCCTGGCGCAGTGGGAGGCGGAGCTGGGGAGGGTCCCAAAAGCCCTGCCCACTAGGCACCAGGCTTCCAGAAGGCCTGGTCCTGCAAGTGGATGATCTTCCTGTCTCGATACATAAAAAAGAACACAGTCATCCTTGTACTGCTGGGAGCTACCAAAGGCCAACGAGTTTGGTTAGATGTGACACTAAATTGTACCTATTGTGTAGGTGCACTGCCTGCTTGCTCATGATAAAAAGATCTTTGAACTTCAAAGTCACCTCCAGACAATCACCTTTTATTTTACAAAGAAGTGCTTTCTCTTCTTGTTTGAGACTTAACAATGGAGCCATTGATGAGTTCAGTCTATTGTATTGCTTTCTGACACTTGGAGACTGATTTATTCTGAGGCCCTGAGTGGCAGCCACTTGCAGAATTGTTACTGGAGAGGAGGAGGGGCAGAGGTTTTGGAATTTAGATTCAGGAACTCTTGTGCATCCCTGCAGCTTCCAGTCTAATGCCTTCATCAGGATGGGTCTGCCGAGGGGTGAGAGCAGGTGCTGGTGGGGTTTGTCTGGGTTTACTCCTTTTGGGAGCACCTTAATTTCTCTTTCATTTTTCATGCAGCAGGCATTTGAATGGCCACTGTGTGCCAGGCACCACCCTGGTGGAGACCAAGATACAACCTCATGCTCTCGGCCCCAAAGTGTTTATAGTCAAATGGGGAGACAGATATACGCCAACAGAGCACATAATTTGTGGGATGGTGGTATGTGAAAGTACAGTGAGCACATAATCCAGAAGGAACCCTTAGGCTTCAGAGTGAAGAGAGGGGTGACAGTTGGGGGCAGGTGACACCTGATCAGAGCTTGAGGGATGACTCAGAAGTTGCCAAGTGTACAAGCATTCTCAAAAAGTGAACAGCTTGATTATAAAGGTTTTGGAACCTGTTCCAGGAGAAATGGGTAGTAGGAGTGGAGAGGAAACCAAGGTCAGAGCAGGAAGGACTTTGATGAGAAGGAGATTAAATATTACTGTGTCTGCGGTTAAAATGCCATATAATCCTAAAAACTCCTTAGTAAAGTCAGACTGGCAATAGGGCAGAGAATATGCTTAAGGCACAGTTGGGAGACCAGAGGCAGGAGAGAGGCGATGAGGGCCTGGCCAATTGAGTTCAGAGACATGTGGGAGGTACAACTGGCAGATCTTGCTGTTAACTCAAGGTTATTGTTGTTCTGTGCCCTCGAGTCAGACCTGACTCATAGCAACCCCTTCTTGGGTTTCCAAGGCAGTATCGCTACGGAAATAGATTGCCCAACCTTCCTTCCGAGGAGTGGCTGGTGGATTTGAACTGCCAGCTTTCTGGTTAGCAGTCAAGTGCCTTAGGCACTACATTACCAGAGCTCCTACGTGGAGGAGACGAAACAGGGAGAAGTCAAGGGTGACATCTGGGTTTCTGGCAGGAGCAACAGGTAGGTAATGGATGCATGCTTACCTATAAGGTAAATCTGGAATGGGCAGACGGGGATGATAGGCACGGTTTTGAAAATGGCTGAGTGTGAAAAACCACTTCTCTGTCTACATCTCCTGTTGCAACAGCCCCTCCAAGTCTAGACTTGGAAAGGAGGAGCATGGCTGGATTGGACAACTTTGTCACCAATACCTAACCATAGATTGTGAAAATGTGGCAGCTCTGAAACCCCTGGATAAACTAGGCCAGAGGGTTGCAAAGTGAGGACCCATACCTTGCATGTGCCACAAACGTGCTACACAGAATCCTAAGAAAATAGCTATGACTTGCCAACATTGAAAATTGGGGTGATTTCACAGATAGATCCCAATTTCTGGTTTCTCTTGACACCTGTGGGCCTTTATTCTTGTGTGGCAGTCATTGTCTGGAATGGCGTAGCCTTGTTTGGCAGCTGAGGCAGGGGTCTCCCAGTTGCCATAGGTTCTGCCTGAAGGCTTGGCCCATTTCTGATACCTGCTGGGTGTTGAGTTTTCTACCCACTCCTGATGGAGACTGTTGTCCTTAGCGAAGAAGCACACACTCACTCTCTCCTCTATTCCTCACATATTCCTTGTGAAGTAGGTGTTTCTAGTTCCAGTTAACAGATAGGGAACCGAGGATCAGAGAAGTCAAGTCACTTGCCCAAGTTGTTAGTTGTCATTGAGTTGATTCCAACTAATGTTGATCCCAAGTTTTCAAGGCTATGATCTTTTGGAAGCAGATGGCCAGGGCTTGCTTTGGAGGTGCCTCTGAGTGCATCTGAACCACCAACCTTTAGCTTAGTATCCAGCTCTTAACCACATACGGCACTGAGATCACACAGATAATAGAGACCAGGGCTTTACCTACATCACAGCTGCTTTCCCAATATTTCACTCCTAAGATTTTTAAAGAGAGAGATTATGATCTTACTTAACTCTTTCAATAAATATTTATTGAACTCCTACTGTGTGTCAAGCTGAGTTATGTCCTGGATATTAATTTGGAACAGCTTAGATGCTACCCTTTCCACAAATGAGGGTCATATAGTCTGATATTGTTAGGTCTTTGCTAGTCTGAAGGAGCTCTAGTGACACAGTGCCTAAGGCATTTGACTGCTAACCAGAAAGTTGGCAGTTCAAACCCACCATCTGCTCCACAGAAGGAAGATAGGGCAATCTACTTCCATAAAGATTTACCACTGCAGAAACCCAGTGGGGGTTGCTATGAGTCGGAATCGATTCAATGGCAGTGGGTTTTTTTTTTTTTGATTCCTAGTCTGAGAGTCTGTTCCTTAATTGGCTTTGGGTGACCAGTGGTTAAGTTCACTGCTGTGCCCTTAGGATTAGATCATTGCTTGGCCCATGACAGATGATAGGTAGGCTCCCCTCTCCTCCCCCTGCAAAAAAAAAAAAAAACCACAGTAATAGATTTTGTTCATTAGTCTATACTTACTAAATGCTAGGGTATTTGATTCTCATTTTTAATTAATCAAAGATTAGCTGCCAGTTAGAACATCTCCTCACAGTAAGAATATCTTAGCCCTGAGTTGACAGAATTCCAGCTGAAAGCAAAGAAGCAATGCCATAATTAGCCTGTGTAGCTTCATCACATGTCAAGGCACTGCTTAGTGAAACTTTTTTAAATATTAGAAATAACTTGTGGTTGTCTTTGAAGTTCTCTACAGGGGTAATATTGCTAGCTTAGGGTCCTTTGGCCTAGAGATGGAGAATGATGAGTTTCCAGCGTGAAGTTTACTCTGGATTGGGGTTTGGGACAGCTTCGTGGAGTCCAGGGGGAGGTTGCTGGAAGCTGGACCTGCTGTGGAGCAGGAGACATCAGTGGGCAGAGGGGTCTTTACTCTAAGAGCAGGGAGTTAGGGCTCCTGCAGCTGCTCAGCTGGAGAAATTTCTTGAATACATATTTTTACCTGTGTGTTCTCCATTTGTTTTTGCCAGCATACCCTCCCCCTGTGAGGTATCTTCATAAGTGTACTGTACTTTTTTTTTTAATAGCAAACACTTAAGAAAATACTATGTTGGCAAAAAAAAAAAATAGAAGATGTGTTATTTTCATAAAAATATGTAGGTTCCATGATGTCATCCCCCACATTTTATGTTTTCTCTGATAAGATCTGATTTTTTATACTCAAGTCTTTCAGTCCAAGGTAGTGGGAGATGTGTGTGTGTGTGTGTACACGTGTGTAGTTGTTGTTATGTGCTGTTGAGTTGGAACCGACTCATAGTGACCCCTCCTTGGGTTTCCAAGGTGGTATCACTACGGAAATAGATTGTCCAACCTTCCTTCTGAAGTGTGGCTGATGGGTTTGAACTGCCAGCCTTCTGGTTAGCAGTCAAGTGCCCTAGGCACTATGCTACCAGAGCTCCTATTCCAAAAAAAGGTGATCCCACAGAATGTGGAAATAATCTAACAATATCATTAATATCACATGCCAGTAAAATCTTGCTGAAGATAATTAAAAAATGTTTGCAGTACTATATTGACAGGGAACTTCCAGAAATGCAAGGTGGATTCAGAAGAGGACCTGGAATGAGGGATATCATTGCTGAAGTCACATGGTTCTTAGCTGAAAGCGAAGAATACCAGAGAGATGTTTACTTGTGTTTTATTGACTATGGAAAAACATTCAACTGTGTGGGTCATAACAAATTATGAATAATATTGAGAAAAATGGAATTCCAGAACACTTAATTGTGCTTATCAGGAACCCGTACATAGACCAGGAGGCTGTTGTTTGGACAGAATAAGGGGATACTGCATGGTTTAAAATTAGGAAGGGAGTGTGTCAGGGTTGTATCCTTTCACCATCCTTGTCAGTTTGTATGCAGAGCAAATAATCTGAGAAGCTGGATTATATGAAGAAGAATGTGGCATCAAGACTGGAGGAACGCTCATTAACAACCTATGATAATGCAGACGACAGAATTTTGCTTGCTGAAAGTGAAGATGACTTGAAGCACTTACTAATGAAGATTAAAGACTACAGTCTGCAGTGTGGATTATACCTCAATATAAAGAAAACAAAAACCCTCACATCTGGACCAATAAGCAGCATCATGATAAATGGAGAAAGGATGGACATTGTCAAAGATTTCATATTACTTGGTTCCACAATCAACACCATTGGAAACAGAAGTCAAGAAATCAGACAACGTATTGCACTGGAGAAGTCTGCTGCAAAAGACCTCTTTAGAGTGCTGAAAAGCAAAGATGTCTTTTTGAGGACTAAGGTGGACCTAACCCAAGCCATGGTATTTTCAGTAGCCTCATATGCATGTGAAAGCTGGACAATGAGTAAGGAAGACCGAAGAAGAGTTGATGCTTTTGAATTGTGGTGTTGGCGAAGAATACTGAAAGTACCACAGACTGCCAGAAGAACTAACAAATCTGTCCTGGAGGAAGTGTAGCCAGAATGCTCCTTGGAAGCCAGAATGGCCAGCCTTCCTCTCACCTGTTTTGGTCATGTTATCAGCAGGGATCATTCCCTGGAGAAGGATAGCATGCTTCATGAAGTAGAGGGTCAGTGAAAATGGGAAAGGCCCTCAACAAGATGAGTTGACACAGTGGCTACAACGATGGGCTCAGGTACAGCGAGGATTATGGGGCTGGTACAGGACTGGGCAGTATTTCGTTCTGTTCTACATCAGCTGAGTTGGTGGCAACTTGATGGGACCTAACGACAACACAGCAAACAAAAAACTAAAGGACTCACTTATCTTCTGGTTTATGTACCAGTGACATTTTTTTTGCACTGGACACAGAGCCAGAAGGCTTGAGTTCTCAGCCAGGTTGTACCAAATGCCAGATGTGCAATCTTGGGAATGCAATCATAGAAAAGTAATTTCTCTGGGCCTCATTTTCCACTACACTGAAATGAGAAACTACATCAGAAAAGGCTAGTAAGTTTCTCCGTATATATCAATTCTAATCAACTGGTGGTGGCCGTCTGCCAAGCACTGTCTTGAGAAGGATTCTGAGGCTCCACCCAGGTTTATCAGGACGGAGGCACAGCAGCAGTGTCTACTATAAAGGCACTAGTTGTGGGGAAGGCGTATCATGCTTGGAAAGGATAAACTTTAAGATGCTTTCTAGTACCATTGGATAATTGATTCCATTTTCATTGTTTATCAGTTTTAGATTCTGCATGTGTTTGATCTTTTGCTGGATGGACCAAAGTCACACAGCCTTGATAATAGCTTTGTGGTTTTTTTTTTTTCCCCCTTTATTTATTTTCTTTTATGGTTTACAGGAAAATTGTTGATAGAATAGACAATGATGGAGATGGCTTTGTCACCACAGAAGAGCTAAAAAACTGGATCAAACGGGTGCAGAAAAGATACATCTATGATAATGTTGCTAAAGTCTGGAAGGATTACGATCGGGACAAAGATGATAAAATTTCCTGGGAAGAATACAAACAAGCCACCTATGGTTACTACCTAGGTAGGAAGTGCTGCAGGAGGTATTACACAGCTGGGGCTGGGTAATAGGCTTCTGGCAGGAGCGTGCTACTTTCTCATCATAACCACTCCTTTCAGGGAGATGTCACAGCCTCCTAAGTACATCCTTCTCTGCTTACTGAGAATGTCCTGTTTGCTGACTCTGAGCAAAGTCCTAGGTGGTGGGTGGGGTGGGGCCAGAGGACTAATAAAAGATGCCTGAGACTTGATCTTACTTTCTCAGAAGCACACACAGAACAAAGCAGAAGGGAAATAATTCTGATACAGTTTCAGAATGCTACAGAGTTTCAGATAGTGAGAATTGAGGCGGCAGACAGGGAAGTCTTACAGTTTGGTTTTTAGTTTGGGAGCTGGGCCTTGGAAATGGATTTATATTTGGAAGGAAAGAGACAAGTGAGGAAGGTGGGTCTGTTGCAAGGCAGAGGTGCAGCAGTGCACTCAGTAATGGGCAGTGTTTGCATATAAGACAGACTGGATTGGGAGGATGAGTGGAAGGATGTGGGGCTCAGTACAAACCTGCTAGGTACATGGTAGAGACGTTGAAGAGACAAGGCCTGAGGAGAACCAAAGACACACACGCACACACACACACGCATGCACACACACAGAGCCAAGCTAAGGGAGATCTTGAAAGCCAGGCAGAAGCATTTAGACAAGATGCCATGGGAACTAGGAAGCCTCTGTGTGTTCGAGATCAAAGACTGACATGATGAGAGCAGAATTCTGGAAAAAGAAGCCTGGCATTACGATTGTCTAAACCTGTGCTCTTAACCACTTGCTATAATGTCCCTAATAAGCCACTAGGGCTTGCATTATGGGATGCCATAAAGAGACAGATACTCAGACATTCTGAAATAAAATGTTTCAAAGAATTTGGTAGGTCAGGTCTTTTGTCTCATGTCTATCATGTGGGCATGAAGGAGGCATGATTTGGAAGGAAATGCCTTTCCTGGCAGCAGTTTAAACTTGTGTTTGCATCCTGCAGGAAACCCTGCAGAGTTTCATGACAGTTCAGATCATCACACCTTTAAGAAGATGCTGCCACGTGATGAGAGAAGGTTCAAAGCTGCAGACCTCAATGGAGACCAGATAGCCACTCGGGAGGAATTTACCGCCTTTCTGCACCCTGAGGAGTTTGAGCATATGAAAGAAATTGTGGTTTTGGTAAGATACATGGAGAGCCTGGGCTGGGACCACTAGGGAGAAAACTGCACCAAAATTTTGTTCCTTCTTTCAGAGAAATGTTTTTCAGTCTGAGGAGAATTGGAGTAAGTGGAATTTCACTCTGAAGTGGAATGCATTGGAATACTAGTTTATTTAGTAAATTGGTCAGGGCAGGCTAGCTACTATAACAAATAGCCCCCAGTCTTAATAATGTAACACAATTAAAGCTTATTTTTTTGTGAAGTTTTAATGCTGACATACATTCTCAGTCAGGTAGATCTCATGTGCAGTTCTCCTCTAAGTGCTAATTCAGGTAACCAGGCTACTTCCGTCTTGTGCTCTGCCATCTTGTGGCTTCAAGGTCATCCTGGCAACAACCATCTAGCAGACAAAAGGAAAGAGAAGGAATGAGGAGGAGGCACAGTCTATCCTAAATGTTCTGGCCAGGAAGTGAGCTGTCTCTTCATTTACATTCCACTGGCCACACCTAGGTATGAGGAGATCAGGAGAATTATCTTCATATAGGCACAGGAAGAGCACATGGGAGCAACGAGCTGATCTCCGCCCATTTTTTAACTTTAAGAGGACTAGAAAAAAGACTTAAATGGAGTGCACTGGCTTGTTAAAACCATGCAGAAACCTAGAAGCTATAGCTGGAAATGATGCTGCTATTGGGGTTGCGTCTTTGGAGGGTGTCTAGTCTTTGAGAGACAGTACTGCTTAAAAGGTCTCTGAGTGTTGTTGATTTCCATACTGTCTAGTTGGGCCTCAAATGTCTTCATTTTCTTCAATAGTAAAATAAATGCTATCACTTGTTTCCTAGGCAGATACCCCAGGCCAGTTACAGCTGCTACAATGCTGGGAAACAATTGGATAAAGCTTTTGTTTATTGTCAACTCTGGACTATTTCAGTTAATTGGTTGATAGATGGGTCCACACTTGCCTCATCCTTCAGCTTCATGACCACTATGACCCCAGGCCTGGACCAGGAGTAATTTCTGTGTACCACTCAGCATCCATGTAGTGCTAACAAAGGATATTGGCAGTGGAGGATGAAGATGGGGTATTATCCACAAGTAGATTAGGTGCCTTTTGGATCAGCCACTGCTCTTGGGTTGGTGTCTTCTTTGACCCAGTATGCCTTCAGTTGCTATGATAATAGAAAGTAAATTCATTATTGACCGTAGTAAAAAACCTAATTAAGAAGTCAAATGCACTCAATATAGATCGTATTACATTCAAGTCATATGTGCTTTCATTTTTTATTTGTCCACTATTTTGTATTTTTCTCACACAACTCAGTGTTCATAGTCCTAGCATGGTAGCACTGGAATAGATTTTTGTGATCATCTCATCTAGTGGTTCTCAAGCGGGGTTCCTTGTCAGGCACCCCAGGGGTTGGTTTGGTTACATGGGGGAAATGGTTGTCCTGGCAAGGCTTTTCAACATGATCAGAGCAACTCTGGGCTTATGGGTTCTTTTTTTATTTAGATAGAGTTCTGCTATTAAAGTTGTAGAGGAAGACAAACCAAAACCAAACCCACTGCCATCAAATCAATTCTGACTCATAGTGACCCCCATTGGATTTCCAAGACAGTAAATCTTTACAGAAGTAGATTGCCCAATCTTCCTTCCACGGAGTGACTCACGGGTGGAGTGAGGAGTAGCCACAAAAAAGACTGCCTATTTTTTACAGATAACAAATGCCCGGGAAGATAAAAAAGACAAACCAGCAATCACCCAGCATTCAGCCATAAAAATTGAACAAAAGAAGACAGTAGTTAGAATTCTTAGATCCACTAAGAGTCATGGCCATCTTATGTTATGTTTTCTCCTTTCCTTCCTAGGAAACTCTGGAGGACATCGACAAGAATGGGGATGGGTTCGTGGATCAGGATGAGTATATTGGTGAGTGCTGGTCTGGAGTCTTACTCAGCCACCCCATCTGGGCAGCATTCCTCCACCCACTTGTCTGGCTACTTTCCCCCAGGTGCCTCTTTTAGCAACAGCTGCAAGTTAATAGGTCTCACTTCTGTGGCCTCCCAGTGGGGAGAGCCTTCCAGCCTGATTTGTCATGCCAGCTCTTAATAGTGAAGTATCAGGGAGGTACTATTAGCCCTTAGTCAGTGGAGAAGAAACTGGCCCTACCACTAGGTTGACCATCAGTAGGCCCAAGCCTCTGATAGGTGCCCTTCATCACAGAGCCCAGTTTGCCTTTGTAAATGGAGATTCCGTAAGTTTACAGCAAGGCTACAGCAGACATTCTCAGGGGAAAGACACTGAAAAGAATGTGGGTCAACAGAGCCTGAAAGCTCTGAGTAGACACAGCTGTGATCAGTGGAATGTTTACGTGCCCCAGCAGAGCACTCTGCAGAAGGGAATTCCTTCTGAGAGAGGTAAATCCTTTTGCAAAATACACAATTACCCTGTTGTCTAGCCCTTTTGCGACTCTGGAGTTTGGATCCTTTGGTTAGGAGGACAGCACCTGCCATTTTGTCCTGAAACTCTCTACTTAAGCAACATTAAGGAGTTATGTTTACAAGGATGTGAGCACTGGCTGAAGGAGACTCAGGGTATAGCACACTTCGGCTGGAACTCACCATTCCTGATGATAGTCCTCCTGAGAGCACAGTAGCCCTCTAGCGCAAAGGACTGGAGCAGGCAACAAGGAAACTTCTATTTGATCTTCATCAGCTGCTACTTTGTGCTTTGCCACATGGCTCCCACTGCAGGTGCCCCTCGAGATGCTCTTCTTTTGCCAAGTCTCCATAAGGTGGTTCCACTTGTTAGTTGCTGTCGAGTTGGCTGTGACTCATAGATAGAGGCGTTGCCCAGTCCAGCACCATCTCCATGATCATTGCTGTGTCTGAGACCATTGTTTTGGTGATTGAGTCTGTCCATCTCACTAAGGGTCTCCCTCTCCTTCACTCACCCTTGACATTACCAAACATGATGGCCTTTTCTAGAGATTGGTTTTTCTTGATGACATGTCCAAAGTAAGCCAGCTGAAATCTCAGCATCCTCAATCTAAAGAGCATTCTGGTTCTATTTCTTCTAAGACTGATTTGGTGGTTCTTCTGTCAGTCCGTGACATATACGAGATTCTTTGCCATCACTATAGTAAAAACTGAAAAAGCATTTGATTTGGGTATTGACCTGTGAAAGAGGGATCTCACTAAACTCACTGCTGAGTCAGATCTGACTCCTAGCGACCCCTCCTTGGGTTTCCAAGGCGCTATCACTATGGAAGTAGATTGCCCGATCTTTTTTGTAAACATATTTAATAGAGGCAGTTACTTACCTTTAAATGTAAATCCAAGCTTCCAATGGGTCTCTGGTTCTGTGGTTGTAGTATTTTGCCACCCATATACAAAATAAGTGCCTTCAGTAATGAAGAGCAAAGTTTCTTCTAATCATTAGAAATTAGGTTGATCCTAGGAACCCAGTGCTATTCCCTGTCTGCCTGTGATAACAGACAGGTAACTCTTTCCACACTAATTAAAGTGCTGTTGGTGGCTCTTCCTTTGTAGAGTAACAAATACTGACAGATCCCTTGTCAGTGCAAGCTGCGAGAGCTTGCCTTCCACCTGGTACATGTGACAGGGAAGCGTTCACAGCTGTGGACATCTCGCCTTGACAGTGGTGATAGGATGAAGACCGACAGAAAAAGCTGACAGATTAAAACGAACACTGAAGCACTTTTGATTAAAACTGTGTGCTCTTTCCCGCCCTCCTGAACTCTGCAATGAAACGGTGTGAAGTCAGGGGCAAAACTCTTTGAATGCCTTTGCCAAAAAGATGCATTCCATTGTTGACACTGGGCAGAGAGGGAGGTGGGGACATGGCACTTGACAATCTAATTCTGAGCAGCTTGTAGTCAGAGAGAGCTAATGTATTGATTTGTCTAGCAAGTGAGTTTACATTTAGGGAGTGCCTTCTCAGGTGGAGATGGTTGAAATTCTGGAAGTAGTGTAGTGTGGTGTGAAGGGCACAGGAATTAGGAGTCCTGGCTTCTTGGCCTACTAGCTGTGTGACCCTAGAAGAGTCATATAACCTCTCCAAAGCTCAGTTTCTTCATCTGTAAAATGGAAGTAAATACCACATAATAGGTGCTTGCGGGATCAGATGAAGCTTGAATTAGCTGTATCTGGACCAGCTATTTCTTAAGTTGCAAAACACTGCCGATCTCAGGTGTGGATTTACCTGGTGGCTGAACCAAAGGTCTTGCCTCTTTTTCCTTTATTCACTTCCTGCTTCCTTTGCCACCAGACATTTTCAAGCTGTGCTTCCATTAAGGAGAAACTGCCAACAGGATATCTCTCTTTACCAAGAAGACCTAGTGAGGAAGCAAACAGTGGATAAACATTGCCTTCTTTTTTCCTTTCTCTGCCATTTTATAAATAGCATAATGGTTATCTTATAGGAATCATATAAGAATCAAATAATACTTGTGAAAGCTCTTTGGAAATGATAGAAACAATAGTATTAAGCACAGTGGTTAAGACTGTGGGTTGGATGGAGAGTGCCCATGTTCCTATGCAGACTTGAGCTCATAGTAGTTGTGGGTCTTTGGGCAAGTCTCTGCCTCAGTGCTTTCATCTGTGAATTAGGAATAATAACAGCACCTACCTCACAGGGATGTTGTGAAAAGAATATGAAAAAACATTTGTGTAAAGTACCTTGTTAAGTATCTGGACCATAGAAAGTGGTCAGTGTTAGTCATTATTGGTTATCACCTATATAGTGCCATTTGGTTTTAGAAGGTTTCACCTGAAATGTCCCATTTGATCTTTGAAGTAACCCTGTGCTTTATAAATTGTAAGGCATTTGGATACTAACTGGAAGGTCGATGGTTCAAACCCACCAGCTGCTCTGTGGGAAAAAGATAAGGAAATATACTTCCTTAAAGACTTACAGCCTTGAAAACCCAAAGGGGGTCACTATGAGTTGTAATCGACTTGGTGGCAGTGGGTTTGGTTTTGGTTTGGGATCTCCAGGTTACAAACAAGGAGGCTTAAGGCTCAGTTCCTAAAAGAAGTAACTTAATCACAATTGCTGAACAAAGTCGAGGGACAGGATTTCTAGCTCCTGCTTCCTATGCTCAGTACTTTCTAGTCCACTAAGAGGCCTTCTTCGTGAGTAAATCATGGCATAATTTTCCCCAGGAAACTTCTCACTGACTGTTTGCCTTAGATCTTGGTTGGTTGCCATCCTTCCAAAACCCCAGGAGGTCAAGTTTTCTCTGCCTTTACCTTCCCATTTGTCTTTGTAACCAGAGAACCACCTTCCCTTCTAGCTGATATGTTTTCGCATGAGGACAATAGCCCTGAGCCAGACTGGGTTGTGTCAGAACGGGAGCAGTTTAATGAATTTCGAGATCTGAACAAGGACGGAAAGTTGGACAAAGATGAGATTCGCCACTGGATTCTCCCTCAAGACTATGACCATGCACAGGCTGAGGCCAGGCACTTGGTATACGAGTCGGACAAAAACAAGGTATTTGGCATTCTTCTGGAATCGTTCATTGAAGGGAGACACTTTACATAAGATTGGTTTTGTTTGCTTCTTTGGTGATAGCATTGGCCTGCCTGACCCTTTCCATATTGACTTTTCTCATTTTTACCTTACAGAACAAACTTGTAACCTTGACCCAATACCATGATAACCCATACTGAGCTCATTAGGCCCAGATAGTTCCTGATAGTCTGCTGTGTACCACAAAACTTATTAAGTCTCATACACTAGGATTACAGAACCAGTAACTTTGTTTGATGTAAGACAAGGATTTAAGATATACCTGTGTTGCTGTAGTATGAGCTTTCTCATACATTGGTTCAGCCAGTGGATGTTTATCAAACACCTGCAATGTGTTAGGCACACGGTAGCCCACTGCGTTAATGCCTGTAAATCCTTGGGCAAGCTCATGTTCCGTTTGACATGTTTTCTAGGTGGGCTTATTTCAGGGTAAGCCCAGGCTGGCATTCTACTTCTGAAAGGTCATACAGTCTTGAAAACTCTATGGAGTAGTTCTAGTCTGCATACATGGAGTCACGAGGAGTCAAAGTCAACTCCATGGCAACTGACAAAAACTACAGATACTTCAGATTCTTCTGGAATGATATCTAGCACTTCTCTGTTGTTGTTGTTGTTGTTGTTATGTGCCATTGAGTGGACCCGACTCATAGTGACCCCGCCTTGGGTTTCAAGACAGTATCACTATGGAAGTAGATTGCCCGACCTTCTTCCCCAGCCTTCCTCCCAAGGAGTGGCTGGTGGGTTTGAACCACCAGCCTTTTGGTTAGCAGTCAAGTCCCTTAGGCACTATGCTACCAGAGCACTTCTCTATATATTGATAAATATAAAAAATTATAATAAGATTAAAAAAAAATCCTGCCTCTTCCCACTTTGATCACCACTCCCAATTCTCGGGAGACAGTCAAGTTACCCAGGTAGGCTGTAAGGGGGAAGTGTAATTCTCAGGACCTGTTTTGGCAATGCCAGCACTACTTTTAGACTTAAATGGATTGTACTTCTGCATTATTCAAGGACTTCACTGATGTATTTTAGCACGTCTTTTATAGCAGGAGCTGTTCTAGTTTGGGGTTTTGAAGGGCAAGTAATGGTAGAAGAGGGTGGCACCTAGCAGTTTCTTTGTTATTAAAGGTAGTGCTTAAAATGTTGCAGATCAATGAGCAACATGGACTTCATGCTGAACTATTACTCATAATTATAAGAACTTCTATTACAGACCTCTTCCTTCTTTCCTACAGGATGAGAAGCTAACTAAAGAGGAGATATTGGAGAACTGGAACATGTTTGTTGGAAGCCAAGCTACCAATTATGGGGAAGATCTCACAAAAAATCATGATGAACTTTGATATACACGCATCATAACATGGCAGACGATTGTAGGCTTCCTTACTGTCTTGAATAGTTGTTGCAATTGTCTAATTTACACCAGCTGTGTCTCCAAAAAGAAAAACAATTTTATTACCTCAAATTGGGGTAAACATTGTTTTTGTCTCAATATTTACTGGAAAATAGTCATGGCTATTGTTTCAGTAATATTTCTCTCAAAATACATTAAAATCTTGGTAAATTACAATTCTCTATGGGGATGCATTGCTAAAATACGACTTTTTCCGTTTTTTCTATTAAGTATAAACTGCAAGGAACTAAAACTTGAAAAGGCTCTGTTATTCAGAAGCTGAGCAGATGGGGGCGGGGGTGCAGTGTATGGAATGACAGATAGTATTTTAATTGCCAGTGTTTTTACATTTGCCACTGTCACGTAGTTGGTGAGGGAAGAAGATTCCTGTCTTCCAGGTAGGGTTCTTTCATAGTAAGTCTGATGCTTCATATTCCATTTTTGAATTTGTACTCTGAGCTGTTCCTGTAAACAGTGTATAAAACTTCTGTGCATTTTCCTGTATGGACCTGCTAATGTGCACATTGAATCCACATCTTTGCTTTTTGGTTTTTACAATAAAAAGCAATCAAGAAAGATAATGTGAAAAAAGTGAGTTTTAGAGGTAGAGAAAAGATGAATGTCAGGCATTTGAGGAATCATAGGAAAATGGTAGACACTTTAAATATACTTGAGGACATTTTCTTGACATGTCAGTGAGGGAGATGGTGATCTGATCTTTGGTCACTGATTGAAATGAAATTAGTGGGGCACTCATGGAGTGGAAGCCTCATGGAGTGCTGCAATGTGGTCATCCCAGTCCCGGGGAATCCGCAGTCTTCACACCTGCCCCCAGGACAGCTTACATTGTGGAATAAGGACAAGGTGATGTTCCAAGCCAATGACTGGTAGAAAAAAACCTTTAACAAGTTGTAATTCCCAACTTTTAAGTAAGAAGTGAATGAAATAAAGGATCCCACTGAGGATTTTCTACTGTGTGCTACGGTGTTTGACTTCACATATGCTATTTGTCACATTATTCCTATAGAATTAAACATGGAGATGGGATTACAAGAGTAAGATAATAAAGGTTCTGTTTTTAAAGACCAGTTACTAGAATGTTCAATATACCCATTTTAACTAATTTAATAAAAATATATATATACTTCCTTCTGTATGCTAGTTAGGGAAACTACAGGTCATTTTAACTAAGATTTCTTTGAGAAATGTCAGTTGGAAGAAAGTCCAGACTTCTCACTAAGCCTACGAGCCCCAAAGGATCTGGTCCCACCTGCCTTGTCAGCATTATCTCCTTACTGTTCTCTCTCTTACTTCCCATATTCCAGCTCCACTGACTGTCTGTCTGGTCCATGAACGTACTGTCTTAGTTTGCTAGTGCTGCTGCTGCAAAACAGCCACCACTTCCGTAAGTGGGTGATTTTAAAGAACAGAAATTTATTTTCCCACCATTCTGGATTTATTTTCCCACCGTTGTAGAGGTTAGAAGTCCAGATTGCAGGGCATGGCTCTAGGGGAGGCCTCTCTTTGTCTATTTCCGCTTCTAGTAGCTGACAGTCCTTGGCATTTTGTAGATGTGAATGCCCTGTGTCTGTCATCACATGATGTCTTCTACCTAGGTGTGTGCTCCTACTCCTGCTCTCTTTATAAGATCCTATTCAGATATTATTAGGTTTAGGACCCAACCTACTGGCATTGTTTTATTAACATAACAAAAGATAACCTCTATTTCCAAACAGGGTTATGTTTACAGGTACAAAACCTAGGACCTCAACATATTTTGGGGGGAACACAATTTATAACACTGAGTTCATTCCCAGATTGAGCCCTTTGTACTTCCTGCCCCCTTGGATACAGAACATCCATCTTCCATATTTTCAGATGCCAGGTAACTCAAATATGACCTCTAGACCTTATTAAAGTAGTACCAGCTTCAGTTCCTATCTCATTTCCTTATTTTTTTTTGGTACATGTTAAGTGCTGTCAAGTCAGCTTCCATTCATAGCCACTCTGTACAAGAAAACAAAACACTGTCAGGTCCTTGAAATCCACAGCATCCCTGCCATGATTGAGCCTGTCACTGCAGCCACTGTATCATTCTATCTCGTTGAGGGTCTTCCCCTTCTTCGCTGGCCCTCTACTAAGCATGATACACGTCTCCAGGGAATAGTCCCTTCTGACAACATAACCAAAGTAGAGACGAAGTCTGGCCACTCTTGCTTCCAAGGAGCATCCCGGCTGCACTTCCTCCAGGACGGATTTGTTTGTTCTTCAGGCAGTCCATGGTACTTTCAGTATTCTTCACCAACACCACAACTCAAAAGCATCAACTTTACTTATTCATTGTCCAGCTTTCACATGCATATGAGGCTACTGAAAATACCATGGCTTAAGTTAGGCACACCTTAGTCTTCAAAGTGACATCTTTGGTCTTCAGTACTTTAAAGAGGTCTTTTGCAGCAGATTTGCCCAGTGCAATATGATATTAGATTTCCTGGCTGCTGCATCCATAGGAGTTGATTATGGATCCAAATAAAATGAAATCCCTGACAACTTCATTTTTTTCTCAGTTTATCATGATGTTATTGGTCCAGTTGTGAGACTTTTCATTTTATGTTGAGGTATAATCCATTCTGAAGACATAGTCTTCAATCTTCATCAGTAAGTGCTTCAAGTCATCTTCACTTTCAGCAAGCAAGGTTGTGTCATCTGCATATCGCAGGTTGTCAATGGTTCTTCCTCCCATCCTGGTGCTGCTTTCCTCTTCATATAGTCCAACTTCTTGGATTATTTGCTCAGAAGAGATTGAATAAATACGGTGACATACACCCTTCCTGATTTTAAGCCATGTAGTATCCCCTTGTTCTGTTGTAATGATAACCTCTTGATCTATGTACCTCATGAGAACAATTACGTGTTCTGGAATTCCCATTCTTTGCAATGTTATCCATAACTTGTTATGATCCACACAGTTGAATGCCTTTGCATAGTCAAGAAACACAGACATCTTTCTGGTATTTTTTGGTTTCAGTCAAGATCCATCTGATATCGCAATGATATCTTTTGTTCCACATCCTCTTCTAAATCCAGCTTGCATTTCTGGAAGTTTCCTATCAATATATCACTGCAACCATTTTTAAATTATCTTCTGTGAGATATTAGTGATATTGTTCAGTAATTTCCACATTCTGTTGGATCACCTTTCTTTGGCATGGGCACAGATATCAATCTCTTCCAGTCAGTTGGCCAGGTAGCTGTCTTCCAAATTTCTTCTTGGCTTAAATGAGTAAGCACCTCCAGCACTACATCTCCTTACTGTTCTCTCATTTTCCCACCATTCTGGATTTATTTCCCCACCATTCTGTTTGTTGAAACACCACAAGAGGTATTTTGTCAATTCCTGGAGCCTTCAGGAATTTTTTTTTTTTGCCAGTTCCTTCAGAAAGCTTGGACTTTCTCCTTCCGTATCATTGGTTCTTGATCATATGCTACCTCTTGAAATAGTTGGACATTGACCAATTCATTTTGGTACAGTGACTCTGTGTAGTCCTTCCATCTTTTGATGCTTCCTGCATCATTCACTATTTTGCCCATAAAATCCAGTATTGTAACTTGAGACTTGAGTTTTTCCTTCAGTTCTTTCAGCTTGAGAAATGCTGAGTGTGTTCTTCCCTTTTGGTTTTCTAATTCCAGGTCTTTGCACATTATATTTACTTTGCCTTCTTGAACTGCTTGCTCTTTGAAATCTTCTGTTCAGCTCTTTTATCTTGTCATTTCTTCCATTTGCTTTAGCTACTCTGTTCGAGAGCAAGTTTTAGAATCTCTTTTGACATCCATTTTGGCATTCTCTTCCCTTCTTGTATTTTTAATGACTGTTTGCTTTCTTTATATATGATTCTCTTGATGTCATCCCACAACTCATCTGGTCTTTAGTCGTTGATGTCCAATGCATCAAATCGATATTCTTCAGATGGTCTCTAAATTCAGGTGGCACATAATCAAGGCTGTATTTTAGCTCTCATGCAGTTAATTTTCTTCAGCTTCAACCTGACCTTGCATATGAGAACTGTCTGTTCCACAGTCAGCTCCTGGCCTTTTTTTTTTTTTTTTTTTTTTGACTGATGATACTGAGTTTCACCATTGCCTCTTTCCACAGATGTAATCAATCTGATTCCTGTGTATTCCATCTGGCAAGGTCCACATATATAGTTGCTGTTTATATTGTTGAAAAAAGTATTTGCAATGAATAAATCCTTGATCTTGCCAAATTCTATCATGTGATCTCCAGCATCATGTCTATCACCAAGGCCATAGTTTCCAACTGCTGATGATTCTTCTTTGTTTCCAGCATTCACATTCTAATCACCAATAATTATCAATACATCTTGATTGCGTGTTTGGTCAACTTCAGACTGCAGAAATTGGTCAAAATCTTCAACTTCTTCATCTTTGGCTTTAGAAGTTGGTGTGTAAATTTGGGTAATAGTATTAAGTGGTTTTCCTTGTAGGCATATAGATATTAGCCTAGCATTGATAGCACTGTACTTCAGGATAGATCTTGAGATGTTTTTTTAGATGATAAATGCAATGCCATTACTCTTCAATCTGGCGTTTCTAGCATAGCAGATTATATGATTATCTGATTCAAAATGGCCAATATCAGTCAATTTCAGCTCACTAATGCCTAGGATATCGATCTTTATGTGTGCCATTTCATTTTTGACAACTTCCAATTTTCCTAGATTCATACTTTGTATTTTCCATGTTCCAATTATTAATGGGTGTTTGCAGCTGTTTCTTCCCATGTTGAGTTATGCCCCAACAGCAAATGAGGTTCCCTAAGGGTTTACACCATCCATGTCATTAAGGTCAACTCTACCTTGAGGAGGCAGCTCTTCTCCAGTTATATTTTGAGTGTTTTCCAACCTGAGAGGCTCATCTTCCAGTGCTCCAGGGCTATTCATAACGTTTTCCAGTAATAATGTTTCATTGCTATTCATAAGGTTTTCACTGGCCAGTTCTTTGAAAAGAACTTCCTTCTTCTCCGTCTGTCTTAGTCTAAAAGCTCTGCTGAGACCTGCCCACTATGGGTGACCCTGCTGGTATTGAAACACCAGTGGAAGAGCCTCCAGCCTCACAGCAGCATACAAGCCACCACAGTATGACAAACTGACAGAGGAGTGGTGGTAGTACACATGACCATTTGTATGTTGTTTCCTAGGGCTACCATAACAAATTATCACAAAAT